CCTGAGGGACCCCGCTCCTGGGGCACGTTGCGTGGCTCTCACCGGGCTTTCCATCCTCTCCGCGCTTTTATAAATAACAGGATACCATTAAAAAAAAACCAAACAAAACCCCCCCAGTGAATCGGAACAGATAACGTTTATCATTAGTTTCGCAGGGCAAAAGAGACAGCTCCCTGAGCCTGCCTGCTGCTCGTGGTTTGCAGAGCTCCCTGCGGGTGTCTGTTAGAGCTGTTGGCCGTGAAGACAGGGAGTTAACAGGATAAACCTTTTTTTTTTTTTAACCCCAGGCTGCAGAAATCAAAATACAAAAAAAGAAAAAGATACGTAAAATTTATAAAATTTTATAGAAGAATATAAAAAATACATAAAGTGAATAATTTTACACAAATTTTTTTAAAAAATTGTTCTTAAAACTGCAAAGCTTCAGTTTTTTTTCAGGCGACGCAGGGTGTGTTGTCCTGGGGTACTGCCATGCCTGGGATGAGCTGTCGGCAAGAAGCTAAATGCCTTGGTGGTTTCCTGGCGAGACATTTCTTGGCTGTTGCATTTGAGCTTAAACCAATTCTTCTCTTTTTCAGTGTGCAGCTGGTCTATGTCTTTGACCGGGAGGGTAAAAATAGCACTCGGCATTTGTGAAATACTTTTCTTCACAGACGTCCCCCTCCCACTGGTAGCACAGCTTGTCAAGTAGGTGTTACTATTACCATTTTATGGTCAAGACCACTGATGCTCAGGTTGCCGAATGTGCAGAATATTTATGATATCCCAGTTACCACAGTTGAGAAGATGACCCGAAAATGGAAGTCTTTCACCTCCAGTTCAGAATACCAGCCCCAAAGTTGCCACCTCTTTGCCCAGTCTGAACTCTTCTGTGTTGCAGGCAGAAGACTGGTTGCCACTTAACTACCATGCACTTTTCAACCCACGTTCACGTTTAAAATCCCAGTTTGCCTGATGAAACGCAGCATTTCGTTTCGGTTGCAGTGGCAGGCTTTATGAGTATGGAGAACTGAGTCACCCAGGCAGGGCTGAAGCAGAGCTGGGAAACCACTGCAGAATCCGAGCCCATGTCGCACCCAGGAAGATTCAAGTCCATGGTCAACTCACACTGGCAGAATTTGAGCTGCTTTAGACTTACTGCAGATTTTCATCTTATCCAGCGCATCTCACAGCTTCACTGTAGATGCCTTCTGAAATTTAGAATTAAGACTAGTTTTTATGTATCTTTCTGTCTTTCCCTTTTTTGCCTTTTCCTTTTTCTTACTTCTCCATAGCCCTCCTTCAGGGTTACTAGATAACTCCTCACATCTTCCAGACTGTGGGAAGAGAAGGCCCTAGCCGAGAACCGTGCATTTCAGAACTGGATGATGATTCTGGGACAGTAAGCAGCCTGATATCAAGTGGTTACAAAGTGGAAGGTCTCACTCTGGCAGCTGGTTTGAAGCAAGTCTCATAAATTTTACTGTGGGACAGAGACTGATACTCCAGCGAAGGATAAACACCAGCTCTTAAATATTTGCTGGGTAGATTCTGAATTTATTACAAATCTCTTTTGAAGGCTGGAGCATAGCTATGCTGACGCAGAAACACAGTTTTCTTTTCTTGTTCCAGTTGGAATTAATCTGCTAATGCCCTTTAGCTTTCCTCCAAGCTTCAGTTTAACTGTGTAGGCGACTGCACGGGAGAAGGAGTTCAGCCAAGGTTCTGACCATTTTAACCATTCCTTCCTGAAATTTGGGTCGTCTTCCTATTTCCGTGCATAGGAAGAGGAATAAAAACTGTTCTTTTCCCCTTATTGTCATATATGGATAGCTATGAAAATCTTTTCCACCTTTGTACCTCCCTGAGACTGTGCGATGGATCACAACCTGCATATTCTAAAGAGAGCATCAACTAATGCACAGTTAAATTCTAGTAACTCTTATCTTGGAGAACTATAACATGCCATGCAGTAACAAATAGAACAAATAAAAACCTTATTTTGAGAGATTATTGAAGAAGCAATGTTGTTAAAATTATCACGAGCAGTTGAATGTGCTCCTCTCAGGAGGAGCCCAGGTACAGGTTCTCAGTGCCCATTAGCTATTAATGTTGAAAGAAAACATTGGATTAAAAAAAAAAATGGATTAAAATCTGGATTAAAAACTGTATTAACCCCGCTCTCCCAACTGCTTTCAAATCTCCTTCTGGCAAAAGCTGTTTCCAGTGTATTCCAGCTTCAGATAGGGATGGAGATGAGCCACAGTACTGAGACACATCTGGAACATTGGCTGTGCCAGTGTAAGGTGACGATGAACAGCGTATTCTGACAATCCCTGAGACAGTCTTATCTCCCAGTGGTACGTTAGAAGCTCAGGTTTTATTTATGCAGCCAGATCACAAACAGTCTGAATTCTCTAATGTGCATGAGGAGTTGAAAATCTGCTGGACCTTTATGAACTTTCAAAATAAACTTTCCAAATAATTTGCTTTTTGGATAAAATGTCAGATACAGTTTTTAAGATACAAAAATAGTGGATCTGAGTGTATGAACACTGTAAGTGCCTGCTATATAGCTTTAATTTAGTTTCTGTGGACTACATTTAATCTTATTTTTCAGGACATTCTCTTGTACTTTGCTATTTTTTAGGGGTAAAAATCATTGTATTGGCATGATTATCCCACTCCCAATACTTCTGTTCCTAAGGATGGGCCACCAGTGAGACAAACAGACTGCTGTTGTCCTCCCGGTAAACAATTTTCAGTGTAACACAAAGCATTATTTTAAAATTTTCCAGTTTTCTATTTAGAATTTGCTTTTAGGACATACATACTCTAAAATTGCCTCCACAGCCAGTTCTAGTGTACTACCACCACACCGATATCAATGCCCTCATTTTAATGATAAAAACCTTTGTAAAAAGACAAAAACCTCGATTAATACTAGTTTTTCTTTCAAGTAGCTCAGACTAGTCCATACCAGATATATACTAATGGTCAAAAATAGCATATAAGAAAATCTGCTGCAGTTTTATCACACTGCAAATGTACACGTTTGATGTGTCATGCAGAGGTGATAAGCAGTAATTGCTCTCAGGATACAAGCAGTATGATATAAAATCTGCTCTGCAATTGAAACGTGGTTTATTAAATCCAGGCATTACAGGAGTGATGTGCTGGCTGCTCTTTGCGCTGCAGACATTCCCAAATAGTTAGCTCAGGACTTTGTCGTGTACAATCCTTTCCACAGAAATTTGAAACCCGTCAAAACGTTAGCATTTCTTCAAGTAAAAGATGATCTGCTTTAGGGTAACTTCACTGATTTGTCTGAATATTTTTTGGTTCAGTTTAGGAGAGACTGTCATAAGTAATGTCAAGCCTTGTTCATCGAAGGTAAGATTTTCAATTACTTTGCTTAGATAAGGTAATGAATGTAACTGATTTCTCAGAAAAGTGGCAGAAGTTTTTAAAATGTAGATTGCTTTATTCAGGATAGATACAAAAATACAGAAGAATCAGGTATTTTCAGCTAGAGAAAAGATACTACATTGAAAGGATAGGAATTCAGTATATTAGAACAATTTTGTCTTAATGTCCTTCATCACAGCTCAGTTGTTAGGCCTTATTTTTAATCTCATCTACATGACTGTAAATGCAGAGTAACTGTTGGTTTTGGCAGAGTCACAGTTTTTGCTTGAATTGCTGAGGTCAGATTTAATTGCCTGTTTCATGTTGGCTTTTGTTAAAAATAAATATTGATTACAAATATTTGCTTGACAGCGTTTAATTGAACATCTGGTGAGTAGCTGTGATAAAGCCCTGGAGCAAACTGTAGTTTCAAGTGTTCTATTTATAACTCTTACAGAATATTTCTTCCTTTATTTCATGCTTACTTCAAAATTAAAGAAACATATTATTTTAGTTCTCTAGCATTTATCTCCAGACACAAAATGCAATTAAATTTATAATTCAGAACCCTTTTTTTTTTTTTGTAAAATCTCCTTGTTAACAGTTTTATGTAATTTTGACTTTCACTTTTTAAAAGCAAAAATCAGGAAAAAAAATTTTCATTGTTTTGCCAGTGTAGTGCCAATACCAGAAGGAGAAACCTGAAGCAGGAAAGGAGTACAATTATGTTGAAGATATATTCAAGTCTAAAGAAGTTTTCTTTTTTATTAGAATATTTATGTTTCTGAGGATCCTATTTACATTTGAAGATCCTATTTACATTTGAAAATGCAGTATATGAACATACTGCAATGCTTTGCTGAGATTATGGAATCAAGAAACGAAGACTGAAATGAAAATATGTTTCTTAGTCTTTTGACAATGACACATATTTCAGGAATTACTTTTAGCATTTCTTTAAGTGATGAGTCATAGGCATTCCCTTATTTTATGTCACATGGCACCATGGAAGAAAAAATATTAATATGAAAATACTATTTTAAAAGAACATTAATAGGTTTAATTACTTTTAATAATGCTTTTATTATTACTATTTCAGATAATTGGGTGCTTGTGAATAGCGTCCCTGTATTCTTTCCCCTATAAGAGCATTTGACATATTTTTTTAATACAGAGTTTTGTCTGCAGGTCTGCTTGGGACTGCTCGTGTGCGTAGATTAATTACTTGTGCAAATATTTCCATGATCAGAGTCTAAGTAATTAATTTAGGGACTTTCAAGAGTGAAAGTGTTTTGCTAATATGTGTTAAATCCCAAAGCCTGCTCCTTTCCAGTGAAAATAACTTTGTTAGCATTTGAGATGTCTGTTGGGTGTGGTGATTCCTAAAATGTGAGCTTCTTAAATACGGGATTTTGCAAGTTCTTGCCTCCAGTTCACAGTGCTCACAGGCAGAATACTTTACCAGAAACGTTGGAGATATTTTTTAAATTTATGGAGGTTATTCTTTCTGTCTGACACTCTCTTTCTCATATGAGATCTGGCTAAGCAGAAGATACCTAACAGGCCTTGGTCTCAGCTCTGTCAATTATTACTTAATAAAGCTTTAAAAAAACAGGTTTCAAAGGAAAACCCATGGAGTAATCTACTTCATTTTGGCAGACTGAGCTATTTTATATGTTTTATGATCAATTTATTTCCCCCCCATTGTTTGGTACAACAGGGCACAAGGAGTGTTGGAGCTGTGGAGGAACCACTCAAGGCAGAAGAGAAAAATAAATCTGCAGATATTTCAAAACAAAAAGAACAATGCCTTGTACCATGTGATGTTCAAGCTAAAATTTTACGAGGGGAAAAACATTACATGTGCAGTATGTATTCCTGAAGAATACTATCAGTGACAAGCTATGCAATGCCGTGCTATGCAATCCTCTGCTATGCTACGCTATGCTGCGCTAATTCATTTTTTAATCTTCCTGAGCACCTGTGACAGCCTTTGACCCTGCTGCCCAGGTTGAGTATTGTTCAGAAAATTTGGGGTGATGTGTTTTTGGGGTGCAGCTGGTGTGACAGAATTAAAGTACAATCATGCTAGTCTCTCTTTATAGTCACTGGTGAAGATGGGCAAATCCAGGCAGCAGCTCAGCCCACCTAGATCTGTCTTCCACTCTGAACGTCAGTAGCTCTCCCTTAGAGAGGAAGAGTAGGGTGTCTGTCCCTCATTTAAGCATCATAGTTAGGTGTGGGGGAGCTAAGTGGCAGTTATTAGTTAGTTAGTTAGTTAGTTAGTTAGTTAGTTAGTTAGTTAGTTAAAATGGGAGAAAATCTGTACTTCACCTTGAATTTTATAGATACTTATGCAGGACTTTCTCTCTTCACTGCCTTGACAAACTACACAGCAAATGATGTAATCAGGCTCAGAAAAAAATTGTCAAAATTCTTGTCTTTCCCATACGATTTTTTAATATGTATTATTAATTACCTGACAGGCTTACTTTTAAAAAAAAAATTTTAGCATCAGGGCAAAAAACAGGTGTAGCAGAGTGAATGAGTAAATGTAGGATGACAGGAAACCTTATATATCTGTCTTTTACCATTTGCGTTTGCATTTCTATGATATCCATTAACTGGTCATCGAAGTTGCCCAAGGATAAGATGAAATTCTTCTTCATATCTTAGAGAAGA